TCCCCCCAGAACCAGAAGCCGACATCGGAGGAGATCCTGCTGATGGCGGAGCAGCTCAACATGGAAAAGGAGGTGATCCGTGTCTGGTTCTGCAACCGCAGGCAGAAGGAGAAGCGCATCAACCCGTCCAGCAGCAGCACGCCGCCGCTGCCCAGCCACACGCCGCCCGCCGCGCCGCACAAAGCCGCCTGCTACAGCCCGCACATGGTAGCCCCCCCGCCCCCCCCCCCGCCCCTCTGTGTAACCCCCCCCCCACATACGTTTGCCTGACCCCTGTCCGGTTCTCATCAGCAGATCTCCAGCCAGGGTCTGTCCCAGGTCACCTCCAGCCTCTGCACAACAGGTGAGCTCTGCTTGCTTTCCGGAGGTCGGCGCCGCAGATCTCCATCCTCTCCCTCCTCTTCATCCTCTTCATCCTGCCTCTCCTCCCTCGCAGGCGCCGGCTCGTCCCCATCGGCCTCCTGCCCCATGACCCCGGTGAGCTCGGCTGCCATCTCCTCCTCCGTGACCCCGCCCCCTCATAGCACAGCCAGCCCGGCGCCGCCCGGCCTCGGCTCCGCCGGCCTCAGCTCCGGGTGAGTTTCGGGGACGTTCCCCGGCCCTCTGGGGGCCTGTTTTTACACGTTTTCCTGCCTCTGCACACCTGATTCTGGTCAAATGCAGCTCTGATGTGGAACCAGGTGTGTTGAAGCCCATGAGGTCGGTTGAGCTTCTAACTGCTTTCCAACCGGTTTTACACACAAAATAGAATTGGTCACATTAAGGTGCTTTAAGACAGTGTTTCCCATCTCTGGCTCCGAAAGCAGTTCCTGCATGTTTCCTGACTCAAATGAAGGGGCCTCCATCAGCCCAAAAAGCTGAATAGATTTTTTTAATCCAATGTCCTGGAGCTGGAAACCTGGAAAACGTGCAGGACTGTGTCCTTTTAGGAAAACTCTGCTTTAAGACGAGTAAATAAACTTTCAGCTAAATCAGTGCTGGAGGATTTTTATACATCAGACACAATACAAACTGCACAAGGTTGCTGTTGGGTGCTTGAATGGATTTGCTCAGAGGTGACTGGTCCTTACAGGCCACCGTAGCTTTCCCAGTTCCTCTCTATTCTGTGACAAACATGATGTGACCTGAAAAGACTCGGGCTCAAACACAAAACAAACCCTTCAGCTTTGAATTCTCCTCTTTCATCCAATAATTTGCTTAATTTCAGAAGACTTTCAGTCGTTTTGGGGAAATTTGCTCTCATGTCTATTGTGGCTTAGCCTATTAGTGTGTTCTTGAAATCAAATCTTCTGGCTTGTTCGACACATTTGCACAATCTGCAGCTTTTGCAATGCTGAGGTTGAACCCTTTTAAAACTTTACACTCTGATGAAGGAAATATCCTCCTGCTGCCTCCTTGATATATTTTTAAGATTCTTTCATTTTCCTTCGTTTTGGATCATTTTTAGAGCATTTTGGTTCATTTTTAGAGCATTTTGTTTATATTTTGGAGGGTTTTGGTTCATTTTTGGAGGGTTTTACATTTTAGTAGACATGTCAAACTCTCCTTAAAACTCCCCTAACCTGAGAAATACTCATTTTAAATGCCTATTGTCTTTATCGAGCTGCTGGAAGAGCCGGTTTATCATAGCTTTTGCAGGCATTTCCTCACTAAGAAGGACATGCTGGGGTCTGCGCTGCTGCCTCTGTGTTATTTAACCAGTAAATTGTTTCTCCTCATGTGTGAATGTGTCTGCGTGTGCGTGCACTTGCGCTCCATCCACATTTCAGGAACACAATGATGGGAGTAAGCACAGGGATGAACCAGGCCCTCATTGGCGGTAATCCCCTGGCGACCATGCAAGGTGTGTGTGCACGCAGACTGTCCCCCGAGTCTGAGACCGCTTCCCATTTCATCCTTCATCCCCTCCGTCCGAATCGAATCTGCTCCAAAGCCTCAGAGGACGGCCGCCAGCGGGCCAAACTCCTCCCTCCTCAGCAGCAACTTTTTGAATCGCTCAGTATGATGACAGATTCCATTTCACTCCCATACAATAGGCGGCCGTTATTGGGGGCGGGGGGGGGGGGGGCTTATGGCAAAGCTTTAGTGGCCGAGTCAGCTTAGAGTCGACAGCTGAACCAACACAATCCCACATCCAGACCTGCTGGCCAAACGGCCGCCTTTCACTCCAAAGTCCTCTTTCTGAGCGAGATGATCTGCCTCCGAATCAATTAGGCCTCTCAAAGGTGCCGGGAGCCTCGGGCGCCGCCAGCCGCGTCCGCCGATTCTATTCGACTGTTAAGGCAGCTCGGGCGGAGGGGGTCCAGATGGGCTGGGGACGGGCCGGCGCCTTCTGGGGGCGCCATCGCTTCTGCTCAGGGATCAAAGAGTTTAGGAGCTGAGCGATGATTGTTAAAGTCGGGCCAAAGCCACTTTTTATTTCAGGTAAACCTTTGTAGGCGCTGAGGAGCTTTAAATCCCCGCCGTGCTGTTAAAGAGGCCACAGTCGGGCTGTTTGCCCCCTCACAGACGCATTGTTCAACATCTGCAGCCTCAGCCAAAAACTCCCACTTTGTTGCGAGAAGTGCTCTGGAAATCGCTTCTTCTTTGAAAAGTGGCCGCAGCCAAAGCTTTGGGGATGAACTGTTGGCCCGGACCTGCACACACAGAGTCTGAAAGGTTCTGAATCTGCTGCTCGGGACAGAAATCTTCTGATTTTGCAGTAAAACCGGGTCAGACGGCCTCTTGCAGGTCTCCTCTTTAAACATCATCCTCATTGCTGTGGTCAGACTTAAACTTTCTCTCCTTTTTGACTCGTCTGCTGACTTGTTTTACCTTCTGTCTCTGCCCTTCCCCTTCCTGTACCCCCCCCCCAGCGCTGGCAGCCAGCGGCGGTCAGCTGTCCCTCTCCGGCCTGGAGGCGGCCTCGGGTCACATGCTTCTGGGCGCTCACGGGGGCCCCGCCGTCCCCTCCTCGCTCCGCCCCTCCCTCTTCCTGAACCGGCCCGGCCTCCTCCCCATGGTGACCGGCTCCATGGCGACCACCTCCACGCCGGCCGCCGTGGGCCTGGTCAGCAGCGGCGGCGGCTGCGGGCCCCGGCCGGCCTTCTGCCAGCCCTCGCCGGCCGGCACCAGCAGCCTGATGAGCCCCACCTCCTGCCCGGAGGAGTCCGCCTCGCCCTGCTCCAGCCCGGCCTCCTTCTGCTCCTTCAGCGAGGCCTCGCCGCCGCCTCTGGGCGGCGCCATGGCCGAGTGACGGCCAGCTGACAGCCAAAGCAGCCAGTTAGAGCAGGACGAGGACGAGGAGGAGGAGGAGGAGGAGCAGGAGGAGGCGTTTAAGGAGCTTTAAAAATCAAATCTACGACCTCGCCTTTGAACCAAAGCCATCTCTCTGTCTGATCCACCTCTGGCGCCGTCTGCCTCCCCGCTGACGTCTCCCGAAGCCAAAAATATACACAGACGGATGAGAGGAGGAAGCAAAGACAGTCAGAGGATGGAGAGGATGGAGAGAACAGCAGAACCGAGGGGTGGGGGGGTTTAAACCAAATAACGATCTGCAGCTGAAGAGGCGGCGCCGAGGAGTCCGAAAACGCCACCTTTTTATTTTCGAGGCGTCCGAGGGAAGAGCCGGAAACCCGCGGAGGGGCGGGGACGCCCGGCCACTGGGAGGAAAAAGACCAGACTTGTGTAACAAGCCCAGAAGGATACGAGGTGGCAGCCAGATCTGCAAGAAAGAAAGATGTAAACCAAAATCTCCAAATACCAAAAACTGAAAACCAAATTTAAACAAAAAAAAACACAAAAAAAACAAACAAAAACCAACAAACGGAGAGAAAAGCTTTAGCTGAAAAAGACTTTTGCATTTTGTCCTGTAGTGCTCCATCACTCCATCTCACCCCAGATTTGCTTTCCCATCTTCAGCCGGATCAACAAAGCATCTATTTTTCTATTATTTTATACTCCTCCTCCTCATCCTCCTCTTCTTCTCTGCTCAGATAAGAACCGTCTTATCTCTGTTTTCCAGCTGATGCCACCTGCAGGATGTCTACCTACCTCTCTCTTTTTGCAGCTTTCCAGCGATCAGCCAGCCGTGCACGCTGCAGCAGACTCTGTTTGTTTTAATGAGCCTGGAGGATCCAGTGGAGGGGGGGGAGGGGGTAGGATGCTAATCCACACAAAACAGCTCTTAGCAAGCGTTCCTGGGAGTTTGGGAGCTTCTTCTCATCTGTTGAATCCTCTTTTTGGGGATTTTTTCCGTCTTCTAATCGGCGTCGTGAAGAGCCCCACGGGCAGTCGAGGGGGGCCATCCCGGGAACTGGTGGCGGTGCCGTTTTATTAGCCTTCTTCGGTTTTACTCGGCCACATTCGCGCCCATCCCTTCGCCACGTCGTCCTCCAGACCGCTCGTCCACCAGCAGCCCGTCACTCGGGGATACCAAAGCACGGCCTCCAGCGTCGTCCGGGGGAGGCAACACACACCTACTGCAAGCACCAGAAAGACCAAAAAGCCCCGAGAAGAAGAACAAAAGAAGGAGGTGCAACACACAGGTTCCCTACTCTGCCCCCAAAGCCCTGCCCTCCACCCCCCCTCCCACCTGCCCCTCCCCTTTGTCTCCAAAGATCAGATCAAAGGGCCAAAGAAGAAGAAGAAGAAGAGGAACCAAAGGTTGGAAAAGCTGCAGGGGGAGAGCGGGAAGAAAAAAGGAGGAGGAGGAAAAAGAGGAGGAGCAGGAGGAGGTGCGCTCGAAGCAGCGGACCAGAAAACCAAAAAGTAACCCAAAACCAAAAGCTACTTCTACGACTTATGAAGGAGTGACTGTAAGCAAACCAAATACAAGCGGAGAGGGGGCGGGCGGGGAAGGAAAGGGGTGAGGGAGCCGCTGTCTGTCTGTTAGTCTTTAACTGTGATTGCTGGTGTTGTATCAACAGACAGAAGAGCCCCCCCCTCTGCCCCCCCTCTGCCCATCGGCCTCGGCTTTGTTCTCACTTTCTTTTCCTGGATGGATAAAATAAGGAAGAACCTCAAGAAACTGACTGAGAATATATATATTTTAGTTTTTGCTTTGCATCGTGTGTCCTGGTGTCGGGGTTCGTCTTTTTACTTTTTACCCACGGACTAGGGGGGTTTTGGGAGGGGGGGTGGCAGGCGGTTTTCGCATCGCGCCTCCTTCGGTTTTGCTCTTTCTTTTTTGGGGGGGGGGAAATGTTTTTGTTTTGTTTTCGTTGGTTTTTTAGTTTCAAATCTTGGAAATAACTGTGAAAAATGTAGCTTCCAAGAAAAAAGAAAAGCTT